TTGATGACTGCCTGGTTGGGAGAGAGAGAGAGAGAGAGAGAAAGAAAAAAAATAATAATAAAAAAAAAAAGGAGGAAGAGGAGGGCCACATCTTGATGACTGCATGGTCGGGAGAGAGAGAGAGAGAGAGAGAGAAGCAGGAGAAGGAAGAGGAGGAGGAGGAGGAGGAGGAGGAGACGGAGGGGGAGGTGGGCGAGGACTCCTGTTGGCATGCACACTCCAAATGGCTGTCAAGTGACCCACCTGCTGATGACGACCCTGTTTGCAGCCACCGAGCAGACCACTGCTAAGCCCAAGGCGGCGGACCGCCACCTAGGAGAAATAGACGTGGCGCAAGGCGCGGAGACCACACAGTGCAGGCCACAAAAGTTGCGAGAACATGCGTGGCACAGGCGTTGCTGAGCACCTGGGGTGAGACCAGCACCAGACCCGAGCGAGGAAGGCCCCTCGCTGGCGCACACAGCCCGTGGGGACCGCGCGACACCAGGACGAAGGCCGAAAGCGCGGATAACGAACGCAAAGACCGCAGCGTCTGGTGAAGCGCGGGCACCTCCCGCAGGCACAGTACCTCGCACGCTCCAGACAAGGTGACTGGGGAGTTGCCAACCTCATGGCAGTGGGTTGAGAGGCAACCGCCCCACAGCACGCCGCATAGTGGCCGTGGACAAGGTTTATCTGACAGCGGCCAGGCGCTCACTTTGCGGTGGAAACTGGAGAGGTGGGCGAGGACAAGGAGGAGGAGGAGCAGCAGCAGCAGCAGCAGCAACAGAAGGAGGAGGAGGAGCAGTAGCAGAAGGATGAGGAGGAGGAGGAGGAGGAGGAGGAGGAGGAGGAGGGGGCGGGCGAGGAGGGCGAAGGGGGGCGGAGGAGAAAGGAGGGCGAGGGGGGGGAGGGAGGATGGGCAGCAGCAGGAGCAGGAGGAGAAGGGTGGGGGAGAGAGAGGGAGGGAGCGAGGGGATGAAGAAAGAGGAGGAGGAGGAGAGAAAGGAGGATAAGAAGTGGAGGAGGCGAAGGGGGAGGGGGAGGAGGAGAACGGAGGGAGGAGGAGAAAGGAGTCGAAGAGGGGGTGAGGGAGGGGGATATGAGACAAAAGCGCCCGAAACCATCCGAGAACGTGCACGTCGCCCTGGCATGGCCCTGGGCCTCCCCCCCCCCTGACAGTTCCCCTGAGCAGCCCCCCCCCTGCCGCGCGCGCGGCCTCCCCTGCCGCCCGCACGGCCTCCCCGCTGCCGCGGCGGGGCAGCGCACTGGCGGCGACCGTGCCCACGCCCACGCCCGCGCCCGCGCGCCTCCGACGCCCCCGGGCGCCGCCGGCCGAGATGCGGCCCCCGGGGCGGCTTCGCCTGGAGGCCCTGCGCCGGCCTGGCACTTCCAGCGGAGCGAGGAGTCGCAGCAGGGGGAGGGCTCCGCGACTCGGATCCCCGAGAAGGCTCTCCTCCTCCCTCGCCTCTCCCTATCCTCCTCCTCCTCCTCCCTCCTCCTCCTTCTCCTCCTTCCTCTCCTCTCCTCCTTCCCTGCTTCCTCCTCCTTCTCCTCCTCCTCCTCCTACTCATCCTTCTGCTACTGCTCCTCCTCCCTCCTCCTCTCATCCTCCTCCTTCCTCCTCCTCTCCTCCCCTCCTCCTCCCCCCTCCTCCTCTCCTCCTCCTCTCCGCCTCTCCCTTCCGCCTCCTCCTCCTCCTCCTCTCTCCTCCTCCCCTCCTTCCTCCTCCTCCTCCTCTCCTCCACCTCCTACACCTCCCCATCCTCTGCCCTCCCTCCTCCTCCTCTCCCTCCTCCTCCTCCCTCCTCCTCCTACTCCTCATCCTCCTCATCCTCCTCTTCCTCCTCCTCCTTCTCATCCCTCTGCCTGACAAATCCCACCAGCCCTCTGGGGCGTGAGTGGTTTAGCGGATTGCCTGTTCCAACCCACTTGCTCCCCTTCAGGGCAGGAGAGCCCAGGATCGAATCGACAAGTCGGATGGGCGATCGAAACGAATTGGAACCACGAAAATTGGCAGCCAAATCGGGAGAAGTCGAATCGACGGAAACCTGCAGGCTCGTACGTCTCCATTGAGAGATCGGAGCCCAAATCGGAATCCGTAGTCGAATCGAATGGGGATCGGAAGCCAACGAAATCGAATCGAATCGAACCGGAGGAATCGAAACGAGCCCTGGGCTCACCCCTCCCCCTTCTCCCTCCCCCTCCCCCTGGACCTGGGCGGGGCGCCCCGCAGGTCGTCAGAGCGTCCAAGACGACATCGACGAGAAGGCCACAACCACTGATGTTACAGGCTGTGGAACAATTTGGGCCTCCTCCTGGAGGGGGGACACTAGTTGAAGCCCCCCTTCTTTGATCGATCATCTCCACGATGGCCCCAAGATTGCCCCCGACGCTCTCAAGAGTGCCCCAAGAGGGCCCCACGCAAGAGGCCCCCTAAGAAAAGGTGCCCCCGAGGGGATCCCAAGAGACCCCCACGAGGCTCCGAGAGGCTCCCCCGAGGCATCCAAGACGGATCAAG